GTGGATCGTCACTCTTGGCAAATTACCAGAAAAGCGCGAAGAGATTAAGTTTCAATCTATTGTTACATTCCCACTTGACATGCTATCACCACACATTTTCATAATATCTTTTCAATCGTTAGTTCATATAGGAAGAAAAAGTCCAAATCAAATAAATCAAGCCCTCAATTGGCATAGCCTACCAAAATAATTCCCTTTCTTTAAAAAGACAAAAGGATTTATTTCTCATGTTGGTTTCTCTGTACGCTATTTTAATTGTGAAAATATATAAATAACATGACATCGTGAGAGTATACTAGTTTTGCAGTTGGATTGGTCCGGCAATTTTGGATTGTTATGTCTAGGAAGAAGGCAAGATTCGTTAATCCCTTTATATTAATATTGAGTACGATCATTAAGCTATCTTCTAGACGTGGGTATTTGGTTTCTCTATATCTTGCAAGATTAACATGATTGTCTTTGTTACTTTAGATAAAACGTCTTGTCAACTTCTTTTGTTTTCTTTCTTGCCTCTTTGACAATATCTAAAGTACTTGTCTATAATAAATTTAAATCACAATTGGATGGGTGAATTTAGTTTAAAAATTTAAATTTAAAATCTCACATCTAAAATTTATAAATTTTAATTTTTTTATTTTAATAATATAAAAAATTTTAAATTATAATATTAAAATCTTGTGTTTGAATTTTAAGTAAAATTTTAAATTTTAAATTCAATATGTGAATTTAAAAAAAACCTTGGATATGTCTACAATTTGGTCCTAGTCAAAGTCAATAGTTTGGAAGGTCGACTTCCATTGAAACCAGATCGCCAACCCAAAATTGAACAATAGACTTCCTTTGAGATCGTATTGCTCGCAATGACTAAGATCGAACGATTGACCTCCACCAAGATTGAACTGTCGACATCAACTAAGGCCTGACAACCGGCGTCAATAATGACAGGATTGTCAGTGCTAATAGGACTAGAGTGCAGGCAAAGACTTAGATCGAATGGCCGACTTCTATCGAGATTGGACCTCTGACATCTACTGGGACGAAAGTGCAGGCAATGATTAAGACTAAACAACTGACTTCCACTTAGATCAGACCACCGAAACCAACTGAGACAGGAGCGCTAACATTGATTGGGACATGATGGCCGGTGTTGACTAGGACAAGACTACCGGTGCCAATCGAAATTAGATAGGTTTAAGACAAAAGATCAATCAGTGTCAGTAGTCTAGTCTTGGTAGAAGTTAGTCATTCAGTCCAAGTTATTGCTTGCACTCCGGTCCAGGTTGGCACCAAAATTAATAAAACTAGATTTTCTAACAAAGCACAACCTAGATCGTCTTCCTAAGAGTCAATGGATTAACTATTTGAATTAGAATTATGAAAAACTAAATAATCGGGGGATTTTTTATGATGACATTAATTTAAAACAACTAAATTAAAATTAAATAAATAAATAAAGTTTAACTAAGAAAATTACTAAGAACAAGCAGCACAATCAATCACAACCTAATCATCTAAACTTAATCTTCTTCGTCCATAAATTAAATTAGTTTTATTTAACTTTATTATTTAGTTTTATTATATATTTATCAAATTATTATTCAAGAATTAAACAAGAAATTAAGTTTTAGATTAATTAAAATTTCTCTTAACCCACAACCTAACAACTGCTTTATGTTAGCCACACCAAAAATGAAACATGAGTAATCATTATCAATATTAAAGATATTATTTATATTTTAAAATTAAAGATTTAGTTAGTTAAAATTCAAAAGAAAAAGATTAGCTAATAAAATCAAATAATATCTAATACAAGCATATAGATCAAGAGTACAACTAAAGGATAAAAATATATAAAATTATCATTTATCATAGTCCTATCCCAGTAGGTGCTGGTGATCTTGTCTTAGTTGAGGTCACCAGTCCAGTCCTGATCATAATAGGATTCGACAATCTGATTCCAATCGAAGGCGACTATCCACTCTAGGTTAGCTCTGGCAGTCCTATCATGGTCGGTGCCTATGATCTTATCCCAGTTAGCTTCAGTGGTCCAATCTTGGTGAAAGGTAGTCACGTTGTCTTGGTAGTCGTCGGACATTTGGTGTCAATAGAAGTTGACCATCCTGTCCCGAGTGATGCTAGCGGTTTAGCCCTAATGGAAGTCTATCGTCCGATCCCAATTAATGGTGATGGCTTGGTACTAGTCAGTGGTGGTGACGGTTTAGTTCTTGTTGCTACTATCAATCTAGTCTTGTTCAATGCCATTGACGGGGCTGTCAAATTAGAAAGAGATTGAGGTGAAACTTAAAATAATAGAAATTTAAAAAGGATTTCAAATTACAAAGAGATTGTTAATTATCCAAATAATAAATTTTGCCCAAATCTAAATCTAAATCACTATGTATCCAAACATAGCATTAAATTATTTAAAATATTTTCAAAACAAGCTCATAATACACATTCTTTTCTACGATGTAAATTTCATGCCAAATATTACAACGTAAATCCAATATTTGTTGCAGTTGTGAATGCACGGGCAAAACAACCCTATCTATTTATCACTAATAAGTATACATCGCTCGACAAATTATTCCACGCACTATACAAAGAGCTCTCTATTAAAACTTAGAGATGAATTATATTTGATTGGGAATAAATAATTATAAACAAAGGCTCATACTTATTATGTGATTTTCAGCATATCTGTTACCAAGATATCTATTTCCATATAACTAATTTTTATAATTTATTATTATTAGGAGTCCCTGATTTCATGTTAATAAAATTCATAGCGATATAATTTAGCGTGTACTTTTTTGTTGCATAAAGAAATGTGATCAGTAGATACCGTTAATATATAATCCTATTTTTATTATCCGAACTAATATCAAGTGGCCAGATAATGATGACGTTATTAATGTTCTGAGCACAAATTATTACCCTTTACAATTTACCGTGATTTCATCGCACCCGGGGTCTACCTTAGCTGAAAGAAAGTGGATAAAAAGACTGTAGTGGAGGAAGGGGAACATGAGAATGACGAGTTCTAAACAAGACACAGTGCTTTTTGTAATGCAGAGGCAATGTGTTGAAGAGAAAGTCAAAGGTGTCGCCTGATATGCGGAAAATGGAGCGAGCACTCTAGAGTGGGCAAGGTGTATAAATATATTAAAGGTGTCGAGGGCAAAGAGGTTGGGAAATCTGAGCATGATTTCATATTTAGATGTAGTGTTTAGGCAACACTCACATTAATCCACTGTCCATTATTAATTATCAATTATCAATTAATTAATTAAAACCACAAGACAATTCCATGCCTCCTTACCCAGGTCTGGACCCTCTCGTAATCCTCCTCCTTCCTTTCCTCTCCTTGTTTTATCTGCACCCTTAAACAATAAAATGAGTGGTCTAAATTTAAATTATTAAAATTTGACCCACACAATTCACAATTGCATGCCATCATTAATTTTTTTTACAAATTAATTTTTTATTTAATTAATTCGTTGTAGTTATACATTATGCAAGTTAAATTTTTAATAATTTAAAATTATTTGTTTATTTTATCAAGTGATACTTGATTAAACTGATTAAGAGAATTAAATTAACTTATTTCATAACTTCAAATTTAAGTCTTAGGATCGTTAGATAAATATAACAAAAATATTTTTAAGATATCTATGAAGCCATCATTGATAATAACAGTCTCACATATTAGGATTCATTAGTTTAGGTCTTATTTAATCAAGTAAGAATAGAGATAAAATGAAAAGATGAGGTAAAAAAAAAAAAACAAAAGTGCCGCTGAGGGGGAAGGGACATTGAGGGGATTTGCTTCCCGCCTTGCCCACATCTTCAACACAATACTACTTCAAAATCCCTTAATTGTCAATTTCAAAGCTTTTAAATGAACTAACAAAAGTTGATTTAATTATTAAGTATTTAAGCCATCGCTTTTATGATTTTAGATTTAAATTTCATTATTGATATGAGAACTTTACTTATTGGTGGTTTGTAAGTACTCTATAAATGTATTTGAGCTTGGAAATATATGCTGGCTTTTGTAAATCTCAAGATCCAACTCTCATAAACTTTTTTCATTAAAAAAAAATCAAATTCATTTTTATGTGATAAATCACAACGGCCAGTAGCTTTGAGCAAAATTCATCAGAGGGCGGGAGCGGGAGGTAGAATTTCACTAATGTTGAACTTTGAATTTAAAATTGTTCGCCCATAATTTGTTCTTTCAAGTGGAACCAGGTGAACCACACGCGCAACCTTCGAAGTTTAAAATAGACATGTATATGTTGGCCTTTGGGATGGGAAAATGCAACGAAATTGATAGCGGGCTCATTTTACAGCAGAATCATAAATATGTAATATAAAATGCTTCTTCCAACTCCATCAATATCCACGTTACCTGATAAAGAAAAAGAATAGTATTTGTCTAATCAGCATGCTCGCATATAAGCGAATGGGCAAACTGACGGGCGACTGATACAATATAAAATTTTCAAGTACACTTTTACATGTTTTACCATCCTTGTCTTTTTGTTCCTTGTGACTCTTATCATATTTAACCATAGAATCAAATATTTAAATTGTATTTTTTCATTAAAAAATATAATATATTTTTTAAAAATTTAATATAAAAAATATAAAATACTTTTTATTTTTTAAAGTGCAATCATTATTTTTTAAAAAAATTCTTCAATTGAATACATTATTTTATATTTATTTTAAAGTAAAACACCTTATTAGATAGAACTAAATATAAAAAAATAAAATTATTTTAAAAATAAATAACTATTTCATTAAAAGTGACATTCGAATAAAAATGTTTTACATATTTTAACAAGGGAGTACAGTTTAAATATTTGATACTATGGTTTTTTTCTTTCATGGGTTCTATAATCACAACGGAGTTTTTTTCCCCTCCCCTTCTTTACGCGCCTGAAAAATAACCATAGCACCTTCATGCATGATCAGAAAAATAACAAGGCTGCTCAATTCAAATGTCAACTTTTATAATAAAAATGCTTTTTGCAATGTGCCGACAACACTATGACCGTTCAAGAATCAAACATCTGACAATAAATTCAGCAGTTATTGCAATGTGACCAGGTCACACTTCAAATTGAAGTAGAGTATCAATCGAAAGGCAAAATATGCCGGAAGACATCAGATCTAAATTAAGGGGAGATGATGGAAGCACGCTACTACATCTCGAAATTCCAAGTGGTTTCAGCGCTAAGTTTCGGAACTTTCAACTCCTCAGCCAAGTTAAGGGATGCTGCAATCTGAAAATTGAGAGCCTTCAGTAAGAAAATCTTGTTCACTCTCCATGAGAAACAAAAGAAGATATAAGAAGAACTTACTTCGAAACAAGAAACACGTAAAATCAACAAGGATGAAACACAAACACACAAACCAAGAGTCCCCCTAGTATTGTTCCAACTTCATGAAATCATGTCAATTAATATCATGACATAGGCTAAGAACTCATTATGCCTCAATCCCAGCACTAAAACCATCCCATGAAAGTCTTATAGCCTGTTTGGTTAGATTCCTTGCATGTAATCCTGATGCATTTACCTGATTCAGGGTGTTTGGCTGGAAAAAGTAAAGGAAAGGCCATTACATGATGGGTTCCAGATTACATCATATACTGTAATTGGGATTACATTGCCAGACCTATGTAATCCGGATTACATGATGGCAATTTACACACAAGCCCTTCTTCCTCCTGACTTCTCCATGGACCAACTCCACCGGCAACACTCCTCCATGGACCAACTCCTATGACGACGATGCCCTCCACAAACCAACTCCTCCATCGACAACACTCACAAAACTCCTTTGACAGCAACACTTGTCAACCAGAACTGTGGATCTTAATCAAAACCACAATCTCAGGCCTGTTCATTTGTCTTTTTTGATCATTCGCACTCCAAGCTTCAGTCGCTTGTTCATCTTCTTTCAATCATCCCCAGATCTGCTTGCTTTTTTACAGATTTGTTCCTTTCTTTCCCTGTAGTAATTGGCCATATGAGGAAGATGAATGAGGAAAGAGGAAGGGGCAACAGTGATGAGTCTCATTTTGCCGCAGAGGCTGCTGGAGATACGAGGAACAATGGGTTTTCTTCCAAGGGCTTTTTTGTTCTTTAACTTTTATTTGTATTTAATTAAATATAAAAAATAAATTTATTTTTATCATTCCTAATATCAAACCAAACAAACTTATGTAATCATCATTACATTCCATTCCATTCCCTACCATTATATTCCATCCGATTCCACGAACCAAACAGGCACTTATGCATGCGATCTGATTAAGGATGCACTTTGGAGGGCTAAACTTGCACGTGAAGGAAAAATGTGAGAGATACATCAAGAATACAGAGTGAATCTGTGCTCTACTAAACTACCAATATCTTCGTTCTCCAGTTCTTCTTCAAAATTATCCTTCAAATACTACTAGCTTTATTTTACTCATGGAATTATATTCCTAGCCAAAGGACTGCATTTTATTTCAAGCAGCCACTATTCAAGTCGAGTAATTACTGTCGCAAAGTCCACAGCTTATCTAAAGACCAAAAAGAAAAATTCAGGCAAGTCAAAGATCCTTTTCTACATAGGCCATTGGATCTTAGGTCAAACAACCACATACTCACAATCTCCTTAATCAGCATCCAACTCAAGCTCAAATTATTTATAAAGCCACCAATTTTCTGGGTATGCTCAGATCATATGACAATTTATTTGAATGGATGCTGGAGAAGACACGCGATTGAATTATCAAAACTGATAACGTCAATATAGCAAACTCTAAATTGGCAACAAATAGCAAGAATTTGAAAGACATTGAATAAGCAAGAGACTTTATGCATCAGCTCTAGTAAATTCGCGAATGCAAGAGTCAGTCTGTCAAAGATTCTCATCTCTAGCCAAAATTAGAGAGATAGCACATCTATTTTGCATAATCCATTGGCTGGAAGTGAATAAAAGCACTATGTACATTTCCTATTAAAAATAAAAGGCGCCATTTACATGGACATATCACTGTGATAAACATAAAGGACATGTCCGAATTCTAAAATCCTATATACTCTTACCAAACAGAAAAAGATCAAAATTCTTGCAGCGTGTTGCGGGAAATGAAGGCTAATTAAATGGACTGATTCCCCAGACAATAACAAAAACAGAATTATAATTAGGGTCCATATGGTTTATGTTTCGAAAGTGCTTTCCTAAAAACTTCAATTTGGAGCGTTTCACAAAATAACATCGAAATCCCCACAACCGTAAAAAGATAAATGCAAAAGTTAAAAACAAACAGGCACTAATGATCTATGGTCAACGCACGCATGAAGCTACCTCACTGTTCTCTTTCACGAAAACAAATAAATGCGATGCAACCCAAAAAAAAAAAAAACGAAAAATAATGTTCACCTTGAAGCACCCACTCTGCTTTGAATTCCGCGACCATTCTAGCCCCAATAGTTTGCTTGATGTCTGGTATGACGCCTTCAGCAAATCATCACCGTAAACTCTCCGTGAAACTGCAAAATCCCATGAATTCTTAGCCAAATCATAGGATGGCTCGAACGTAGTCACCCCCTGATGAACATAAGCGTACTTCAACTTGCAATTTCCTGAACCAAGCGTGTGGTTAGCCGAGAACTTATTAGCGGGATCGATTATTAATGTTCCATCCAAAGCAGTCCTGTTATCGCCCCAGCTATGTGTGTAAGTCAAATTCAATGGCTTGTCGGCAATCCTGACGGTGTTCATGAACTGAAATCGAACGTCCTGCGGCACCAAGGGAACGGGATATAGTAGAAAGATGCAGGGAACTAAAGAACCTAATCCTAGCTAAGTTACTTGAGAATGTAAAAGCAAACCAACCCAAGTAAGAGCAAGAAACACCGAATTACACACACACACACACACACAAAAATTGGCAAAAAAATCTAAATATATGGAACGAAAACAGATGTTTCGACAGCCGCACTTTGCATAATATAAATCAAATTCTGCATTTGTTTGGCTGGATTAATCGACGACTAAACAAGCATAAACTCAGGAAATAGCAGGCAAATAGAAATTGGTGGAATTTTGCAATTACCTTTTTGGGAACATTGTAATCGACTATAAAAAAGCCAGGTTTCTCGACGGCGAGAGCCAATCCGGTTAAGCTGGGTCCATTGACGATGGTAGCTTCTGTTATCGAAGTGCGAAGCTTGACATCGCCGGCGTTGAAGGCAACGGTTGCGGCGGCACCGCCGTTTTTGTCTAAGTCATACTTACCCTTCAAAGCCGCCTTCATCGGGAACAACGGAACGAAGGGAAGACGAGAATTGAGAGTTGAGACGATTGTTGGAGAACGAACGCGAAATGAAATGAAAAAAACCCCGTTTTTTATGAGCGCGGGTTTTCTACGGTTCGTCAATGAAACCGTTGTATATGAGCCTGTAAATTGGGCTATTGGGTCGTAAATGAACTCTTTCATTGGTTAGTGTGGACTCAGGTGGGCCTTAACACTTTTTTATTTGAGTTGTTGTGAAAAAAAAAAAAGAGGAGAGACTGAAATAGATTGCGACGAGGAGACAAGCAGGTTTAGGTGGTTTGATATCTGATTTCGAAAGTAAATTTTCAAGTTAGAGTCGTATTAGAATGAAAAACTGATGTCAGGTGAGTTTTACACCAATATATTATGACGTAACTCAATTTGAAATAGAATCATTTGAAGCTTGATATAATTTTTAAAAAACAGTTGATATATCCAAAAATGCGCGCGACCGCGCGCGTTTTATTTTTCAAGATTGATGTGAAAACGGATAAAATTTCTTCTCCTGTAATGTTGAGAAGCTATAGTAAAAATAAACGAGAAAACAAGCATTGTGACACGAAACTAAATCTGATGTCAGCATTTTTCTACATCCCCCTACATTATTTCAACACTGAGCCCTTGTAAAGGACCTGTCTCTTTATTTTTTTATTTTAACATTTTCTAAAGTGTTACTCGTGGTAGAAGGCAGAGAACATGGAATAATATAATAGCAGATATATCTCACCACCTCAACGTGTTAATAATTTGAGTTGACTTGAATCAGTTCAAAAATACTTAGAACCAAGTTTAACAAAATTATATGATTTTTAAAGTTTAGATTTATTCAAGTAGTATAAATAAGTTTGAAAAATTCAAGCCCGCCTTGATTGGGCTTGGATTTGGCCTGAATGCCTAAATAACATTTTTATAAAAATATTATATTCATTTTATTTAAAAATATTAGATATTTTTAAAAGAATTTAATATTTAAAAAGAAATTATTGTGTTTTATTTATTTATTGTGGTTATGCTAGTTTTATTGCTCCCGTTGTACGATTCATTTTAGCCAATAGTTCTATATATCAATGGTATTTCAACTTATAATTTCAGGTAAAATATTGATTTTTTAGTTTACAAGATATTATATTTTATGTCGCATTTTTGAGAATTCTTATTAGTTTATATCTTGAATTAATTGTTGAATGATAATACTTTAAAACAAATAGATTTTTATTGGGAAAAAAATAAAGAATAGTGTGCTTAATTACTTTGAATTTGCAAACATGAATGTTGTCAAGGAGATTAGTTGATTAAGCCTTACTTTTCCATATCTTCTATTTCAATTTCATTCTCTCTCTTTTGCTGCAATTTCTCAATCCCGTTCCCATCTCAAATGAGACACAACAATTTTCAAGACAGAATATGACACAAAACTAAAATCTAACCTATTGAGGGTGGATGGAGGAGCAGCGGTGGGGACAGTGAGTAGAGAAGAAAGAAAGTGTCGGGAAGAAGAAGAAGAAGAATGTTGGGGGTGGATGAGGCGGGAAGAAGGAGAGATAGCTCTGTGGTCACTGTTGGTGGAAAAGAGATACAGGAAATGGGAAGAAAGGGTGTTTTGGTGGGAACCGCATCTTGTGCTCATCACTTATGGATGATCTTCGCCCATTTTAAATTATTGTTTCAATAATTTTTACATTATATTTATTAAAATAAAAATATATAAAAATTATAAAAGAATTTAATATTAAATTTTACTATTCAAAGTATATTTACATCATCAGATTGTAAAAGTTATAAAATTTTTAATATTAAATTAAATTTTTTAAATTATATTTAGGTAGGCGGTTTATTGTCGCACGTGATCGAATGATTACGCTTTTTTCTTTCGGCCTAAGATCAGCGATTTTAATTAAGTATTGTTATCACTCAGTGATTATCCCCTATGTTTGAGATGAGAAGATTTGGGTAGTTCGTTTTAAACTTCAAGACGTATCACATACTAAAAATACGTCGTTGCTGCACCAAGTCCTTATCGTGGAATGCAAAATCACAAGCGAGGACGAGCACAATTCCATGTTGTGGAATGCAATCTCGTCTCGTCACCCGTTGGAAAACGTGGAGAAATAAAAGAAATACACACACAAACATGTGGGTGCACAACCATTTTTGTGAAATCTACAGAGCAAAACTGCATATTCGGCTGAAGCATCGCATTTTGCTTTCCCTTCTTTGAGAATTTGGGTTTCTGTGAGCAAGTCGCCCCCAAATCTTGTGTTTAGGGTTTTGCCAGAAAGAGGAAGGGAATCCTTTTTCCCCAGAGTCCTTCCCTTTGTCAATATTTTCAATTGAAAGGGAGGGCTTGGCAGATTTTTCTTCTCCTCCAACTTCCGATGAGGAAACTTTGTCCTAATTTTGATAACGAAGATGGATTGGAGACAGTGTTGGAGGTGCCATTCCCTGAAGAAATGTTGCTATGTTTGGGGGGCTCTACATCCACTCGTTGGAAGAATCTGCGATCTCTCATGAAAGCTCAACCCATTGATAGGTATTCGCATCTCTCTTCTACCTCAAGAAATGAATTCATGGCATTGCTTAAGCTTGTTGGCTCTCCCCTTGTTCCGGTTCAAGTTCAATCCGATCAGACTTTATTAACGCGGCCTCTCAGAGGTTGTTCCATCGTAAGCACCACCAATCTTTTCCTTCATTGTCTTAATCACAAAATCTATTCATCGTTCGGCGATGCTGTTTTATAAACCATACAACCTTTACGTATAATCTGTTACGGCCATTCATAACCATGACCACCGCCATGCAGGTCCCTCGAGGTGATCACTTGACCTTTTTATGTGAATTTTGTGCGGCTATAATTCCAAGGATATAACTTCCGTGAATGAGTTTAGAGAAAGACAAACACCTAAAGTCTCAAAAAAACCGCTTAAATCCAATGGTAGCGGACTGATTGATTTTTTTTTTTTTTTTGGGGTAGAAAGCGGATTGATTGATTTAGGGACAACGTATATCAGACTATGGGACACTAAATTCTGACTTACCATCAGATAAATGCGAGTTCTGAATTCTGGATTACATGCGCTGCTAATTAACCCCTCGGTATATTGCACTTAGTCAGCTTCAACTTATCTTGATTGATGATGATTTTATCAAGAACCATGCTTTATGCCCTTATTAATTAAAGTCAAAGAGGGTCGTTTTGGGTTAGTTTAATTTAATTTGTCTGTCATGAATCTTACACAAATGATAACTTCCTCTACTAATTTCTTTGTCATATTTTTTAATAACAACTATGACAGGCGGATTCCACCGCCAAATACATAGTACAGCAATACGTAGCAGCTACTGGAGGACTAGCTGCTCTGAATGCTCTGAAAAGTATGTATGCAATGGGACAAGTGAGAATGTTTGGGTCTGAGATGCAGATGGGAGAAGATAGCGTGCACACAAGAGGTAGGCCTGAAGTAGGGGGCTTTGTACTATGGCAAAAGAACCCAGATTTGTGGTTTCTGGAATTAGTCGTTTCCGGTTTCAAGGTTAGTGCCGGCAGTGACGGGAAGGTAGCCTGGAACCAGTCGTCTTCTCAACCTTTTAACGCAAACAAAGGCCCTCCTAGACCCCTTCGCTGGTTCTTTCAGGTAATAACTAGTTAATATACAGGCACGGACTCGGCATTAAATTTTAAGTTCCAACCAGTGCTTATGCTATTTTAAATTCATGCCTGTATATTGATCATATGACTTCTTTCTCATTCTCTATGCTTGTTATTTCCAGGGGTTGGATCCAAGGTACACGGCCAACTTGTTCCTGGACGCAGAATGTGTAGGAGACAAAGCCATAGGAAATGAAGAATGTTTCTCTCTTAAGTTAGATACGTCGATGCACATTCTGCAAGCACAGAGCTCGCCCCATACTGAATTCGTGAGACACACAATATGGGGATACTTTAGCCAGCGAACGGGGCTACTTGTCAAATTTGAGGACAGCAAGCTGGTGAGGATGAAGCCCCCCAAGGGAACTAATAGTGGCTTCGTGTTTTGGGAAACAAACATAGAGTCTGTGATGGAGGATTATAGGTATGTTGATGGCATTAACATAGCCCATGGCGGGACTACGGTGGCGACGCTTCACAGGTACGGTGGGTCACATAATCACAAGAGGAAAATCGAGGAGACGTGGAAGATTGAAGAGATTGGTTTCAACGTTCCTGGGTTGTCCAATGATTGCTTTCTGCCTCCCTCTGATCTCCACGAGGGATCATGATTCCTCAGAACAACTTGTAGGAGTGACTTAATTAGGATTTTGCTTTTCCCTTTCTCATTTTCTCAGCTTCTTGACTCTCCCAGCAACAGCTGTAAGAAAATGTGTGTGCATAGACAAAGTAAAGGTCCACAGAACATTTCTGAGACGGAATTCTTCTACACGTTTTTGGCCGCCTTTTCCTTTATATAGTTATTGTTTTATTCCTGGTGTTTCATTTTGTTTCCTTATTTTGGTCAGCTTTTTTGAAGGGTTATCATATATTCTTCGAGAGTCAAGACTTTAATTTTTAACATGCAAGAGGGAAAAATGTGTTTTTTTTTTTTTGGTTTTAATGAAAGTCGTGAAAATGGTGTGGTTAAATAAATCAGTTTTCTTCAAGTGTATGTGATGGGAATGATTGAGCAGTATTGAGACAATTTCTCTAGAGACCAATCACGTTTTCGATTTCCAAGGAGTATGAATATTTTTTGGGTTGAGCACAACTATGATCTTGCTTAAAATACAGTTAGTCACTAAATGTGAAAATCTTTATTAATGGAAATTCAAACTTTAATTTATTATATTATGAAAAACTAAACTCTTTTGTTAAACTAATTTCTTTAATAAAAAGTACGAATTTTTCATTTTTTTTGTTAGATTTCTTGATTTCTTTGATATTAATCTGCAAGTTATACAGATGCATAGCAGTAGACAAACTCATTATACTTAGGTTTTATGCTCTTATTCATTTTTAATTCTAGTTTATTTTTATTCATTTTTAATTTTTAATTTAAATGGTTTCATCTTTAGGTCACTCCTTATTATATTTCACAATATTTTATCATTACTAAAATACTTTTACACATACATTGTGTAAAACTGTTACGTTTTTCCTAAAAAAATTAAGTATATTGAAATGGGAAAACTACCATATGATTTTTTTTTTGGTGTAAAACTATTTCCTGAATATGGGTATATTGGACTCAGTAGTCTCACACAGTGTGCATTAGATTCGGGCTTTGGCAAACAACAGGCAGTGTAGTTTCCGCACCCACAAAAAAAAAAAAAAAAAAACCAGGCAGTTTAATTTTTACCTTCTTTATTTTTTTTAATGAAAATTATCTTGTTTATTTTAATCACATGTTATGAAATTTTAAAATATTATATATAATTTAAAATATCCCTCGTGAAAAATATGATGTATCTTAAGTTTTTTTGGGTAAAAGATGTATCTTAAGTTTTGTACCCAATAAAATAGATTCATGATAAAATTGATTTATTCTATATATATATATATATATATATAAGAGACAAAATGATTTTTTGTTTTCACACGAGGTAAAATACAAACAGAATAATAAAATTTTCACATTTTTTTTCACACGCACATATGTATTACTCAAATACGGGGCCGGGTTTATTTCTTTTTTTCCCAACTCTTTCATTGTTACTATTTGATCCAGTCATCCAGAGAACTGAAAAAAAAATGATAAAATATCATCGAAATAAAATATCATCATTATTTCTGCTAGTTTTAATATTCGGTAAAACGTTCATTAAAAAAAAAAAAAGATATACAGTACAACCGGATGCCTGACAAAACGGCACCAGCCTGAAGGGGTCCACATAAGGCCATATCTGCAAGGGGCACTATAAACCCTAATTTGCGTGGGAACCCTCTATATAAATGTTCAGGTCGAGCCTCCAGGATCCAGATTTCGCCTGTTATGGCTTCTGCATCGACATTCTAAGCTTTGCAGTTTTCCATTGCGGTTTTTAGTGCAATCGTTGTGCTCTGCTCTGATTTCGATTTCTGTTTTCGCTACAATTTCAGGAAATATATCTATATTCCTGAGTAAACCAGGATTACGAACTTCTCCATGAATTTCGTTTTTGTTTTTGGAGATTATTTGCGAATACATGATGCGCTTTGATAAATTTTTCGGGTCTGTCTGTTCATTGTTATCTGTCTTACGGTTGCATTTGTTTACCCGCTTCATCTGGGTGTGAGTTTCAATGCCGATGGAGCTATAACGGATGCAGAGATTGAAAGGTTGGCTTACCAGCCCATTGCATAGCTTTGATTCTTGCCTTGGGTCAAATGGACCTTCCGAAACATGCATTTTCTGGTTTTAAATTATCTCTTCCCCCCTTTTGCCTCCAATTTGCATAGATAACATGGCACGGGATGATTACTTTTAAACCGCTTATTGATATACTGATAAGCTGTGCTGACCTCGATTTCGTTTTTCTGATGCCATTGAGTTAAAGATCCGTGCCATGTTTCTCTGTTTACCTCGTTACTCCTTCCAAATCGATGTAGTTTAGGTCTTTTCATGTTCTCAATTTTTGAAGCCTGGATACTTTTTCATTTACCTTTTGATGTGGTTCATTTTTGTGGTTTAGGTGTTCTACCTGGGCTGTTGTTTAGGGATGGCAAATGATGTTAAAATTTTCTTATCCTACACACTGATTTGCATGAAGATTCAATACTCCGCTTATTATCTGATGCCTTCCCTCTGTCAGCTATAAGATTGAAAGTCTTTCTATTCACCCCCCCCAAAACCGGCGTTTTTAAATTTCAGCTCTTTTATTTTGTAGGTCCTTTGAAACTGGATATGGTTTTACAAGTTTAATTTAATTTGATTTAATCAATGATGAGGTAATGCAGACGGGCGGGCTGAAATTGATGCCATGTTGATTGTCTGCGACTTCCACGTTTGGAATGTCTCTGAGATTAGTAAAGATAAACTGTTATACTTTATTTTCACTTGACACTTCTGGGAGAGTTTGATATCTTATGGTATTATACATGTTTAGTCATCGGTTAACCAAGCATTCTGAATCTGGATCACATGACTATTGTCAGCCTGCAGTGATGAAGTAGTATAAATATGTCTGGACATATGATGCTTTTCTATGATTATTTGCTTCTTCTGAGCGGCATCATCAATACACCGTTGCGTGCTTGGGCCTCTTATTGTGTCTACCTGAAATAACTATGTACTATGGGCATTTTTAATCAAATTTTAGCTTCCAACGAAGTAATTATTTGCTTTTAAATTAATGCTATTTTGTTATATTTATTTTTATTTAATAAGGTATTTTGCTCAAATAAATATAAAATGATTTATTCTACTCTTTTGAAAAACAGTAATGATTACATTTTAAATTACAAAGAAGTTTTACCTTTTTTAATGGGGTAGCATATAATGTTAGTTGAGGTTTTGGGTACCGATGTAGATTCTTGATAGCTAAATCAAGGATATCATTGAATAAAATGGAATAGGCCCATTGAATTTGGTTTTGTTTTGTGATATTATTAAGGATTGAATGGAACTGGAATGACTGCCCTTTAATTATTCGTTGTCTCATTCTAAATTGAAGAAACGCAGATAACACCGGGATGGCGAAACAATTATAACTATTTCCTGCCATTTTCTCATAAACTCAAATAATCTTAGATATGCTCTAGTTTAGATGTATCATGTTCCCCACCCCCACCCGCTCCCACAAAAAAAGGGAAGAAAATAAAGCGTGATATAACTATGTGACCGGGACTTTCTCGTGTATTAAAACGTGTGATTCATTCATTTCGACGTCTTCAACGTGGTTGTAGATGCTCATCGGCATTTCCTGAAACAATCAACGACCGCTTTGTGGTTTAGACAATGCCTGGCCAGATGCTCACCGACATGAAGACAGATCAATGTTTCCTACTGCTGATAATTGCCTGATTAGTTCTTTTAATTTTTTTTTCCGGGGAATGAAAAGGCAATCTAGAGCTTGAGAAAAGATGAACAAGAAGAAAAACCAGGAGTTTAGGCACTATTTGCCTTATCCTCCATCAAAGCCTGAATACAGTCTTTGGGGCACATCAAAAAGTGCAGTTGTATTATGGCTAGAATTCTGTCTTGCCTGATAAGTTCCGTCACCTGTGTTTCCATGTCTTTTGATTGTATGTAATGCTAATTTGGCCGCTACAATTTGCTCCGCAGATTCGGCATTCTACCATTGATTTGTTTTCAACTGGACTGAACTCATGCCCAATTGAAGGGCTGCCCTAATTTTGTGGTTTAAGTACCTGTATAGCCCTCGGACTTCGGTTCTCTGCACTCACCTATTACTCCTCTCCCCAATTATGAAGTGAACATTGTATCTAGTTTCTCTTTCAATTTGTATTGTCAGTGAATGTTTTTGCAGGGAAATTTGGAATTGGAATGTTTTGTCTGTACCGATTTTCCATTTATAAGGAGGGAGAGAAATAGTTTAGTTTGATCTGTAGTTGACTTGTTTCTTGGGAAAATTAGTCTAAAGTTTCATCATTTCATGGAAGCACTTAAAATACGTTGAAGTCCCATAAATTTAAGAAATATCTGTCAGGTTCCTAGGGATTTAAGAGTAAATAAGTCTGAATGTAAAATTACCCATTTGCCCTCTAGCATTGAAAAGAAGATTTGCTTGCGCGCGCGTCTCACAAAACCCATGATCAGCAATGGTGAAAGTTGCTGAATATCCATGATTGTTGATCACGGTAGGATCATCTTCACTTCCTCACATCCATGATTACAGCCCTTGTCTTCATCTAAGTGAGTTAGGAGTGTTTCTCTGCAACAGTAGCATTTCATCGACAGAAAATAAATTTTTTAAGTAAACAATTGTTGGCCGTAAATGATTACGTAAATTACCGATTAACAGTAGTATATCCATTGTTAGTTGGGCAAACGATTTCTTGTACGTTAATGATTTCATTATTGTTTAAGGGTAGGATAATACTTTCTGGGTAAACCTGCGATCATTTAATTTGCATAGCTGATATATGGAATAATCTAGCGCAACACTGTTCCGTTGACAAATATTTGATATGAATATCTTTACATGTTGTCAATAGTATTTTGTTGTGTTGTCAATATGGTATAAATAGTTGTCAATACATTATACTGTGTAGGCTAACCAGTAAGAATGCAAGTACTACTGAAAAACATGTATTATGTGATGTTTTTTCATACAGGACATTTTATATATTATTCACAAGCATCTGAAGTAAGCTTATTTTGTTGAAAAATTTCTGCTTTTAAACAACACTGCGTCTTGTCAATAGTGGATAAATGTGTTGTCAATACACCTTTTCTAGTTGTCAATACACTGTGTGTGGTGCAGGTTGACCTGTAAGATGACAAGTTCTTCTGGAGA